TAACCCATTACCACAATACCAGCTCCCCGGGGCATTTTTTTACACAAGCTTTGGAACTTAAACCACACACAGATATTTAAGTAAAAATTAAAGGACTATTCAAACAGTCATTCTCTTTATATCAGGCAAAATCTTTGATTGTCCTTGGGGCAACATTCTTCCATGGAATAGAACTTAGAATATAATCTGAAGCAAGAAAATTAAAATCTACATCCAAATACAATTTTCTTGCAGTAATTTCAAACATGAAAATTATGCCATAGACTTGTTTTACTCATTCATTTTCTTTTGCTTTAAACTTCACTGTGATAAGAACACAATGAGATTTTTTAAGTATATAGTATAACATCGCTATATATAGTCACAATTCAGTGCAGCAAATCTTTAAAACATATTCATAATACAGAACTGAAATTGTATACCCTTTAATTAGCAACCCCTGACAACCACAATTTTATTCCTTTTATTGAGAACCTACTATATGTCAGCATCCAGAATCCTAGCAAATCTGAAAACCTTTGAGTAGCTCATAGGCTATTAAAAAATCCAGTAGAAGCTCCCTAGTAGTCCAATATTTCATTTAGGAATTGGAAAATTTGACAAAAGGTTTATATTTGATTATAACGATCCAGTCAACCATATCTGTGTAACCAAGTGAAAATTGGCAGAAATTGTGAATGAGAAAACGAACTCCAGGTTATGTTTTTCATCTCAGTTCCTAAGTATCATAATACAGTTTGGGACTCTGAAGATATGTATTATCTCACAAGTAGTGAACAACTGTTCAGAATCGTATCTTCTAGTTAGAAGGAATCAAGGGGTCATCTAGTTCTAATTCCCAGCTAACAGAAATCACTTTGTACTCCTGCACTTTTTACTCCTGCAGTTGGAGATCAGATATTCGTGATCATTGTTCAAGCACCAGGGGTTTCACTATTTGCCAAGATAGGCCCTTTTCTTACTTGTCACGGTTGGGAAAATTTTGTCTTCCTTTAGCTTCACTGAAATTTATCATTTTTGTTATCCTAATATCTTCCTGGAAATCTTTTAGATTCTCCTTTTGTGTTCATCCAGGGTGTAAGATCTCCCTCGCCTTCTAGATCTGTCTGTAATTCATTTCTTTGATTCCTATGGTTTAAGCTTCTAATTCTAATATAAGCAGAATAATCACTCTGAGTTTCATAACTAAATGTTTACTTGAGCCCTAAATGGCACATCTTAAAGTTATTAAAGCCTTAAAATCCAACATGGTCAAAAGAGAATTTATCAGTTTATACCACAAACTAAATCACCCCTCCTTTAGCCGTTATAGAATAACATCAACATAGTCTCAGTTGCTCAAAACAAATTTAGTACAATCCTCAGGCTCTCTCAGCCATGTCCTCAATCCTTGTCCATTTCTAATGGTATACTCCTGCTGATTCTTCTTCCTAAGCCTTAAGATGTGCACAGGTGCCAACAGCTCCTTTCTCCTCAGGCTTGAAATCATAGTCCTATTATTTACTAGCTTATCCTTCCTGCTGGCTATCTCTTCATCAAAAATAGTGCTAAGAATAATTAAATATTTACTAAATAATTAAATACTTACTTCCAAGGGTGGTTGTGGCTCATAAATACAAAATTGTTGGAATAGTGTATAATAATTAGTGAGCACTTGATGAATCTTAACTATTCATTATTTTTTTCACTACTATTCTCATTGGCATTTTTCTAGTTACTCCTTCATCATTCCTCAAGTGCTATATGAGTTTCACCATAACCTCTAACTGGTCTAAAGTGTTATGTTCTGACTCTTTCCCAACCAGTTTTGATATAAAGTAAAAATCATTGCATTATTAACATCCATCTAATGACCCTCTAGTTGCTGGTAGTATAAATTCTAAACTCCTTGAGTTCAAGTCCAAATTCCTTAGCATTTTTACTGCTACCTTGCATGATCTGTCCTCTGATTACCCCTCTGACTTTACCTTGTACAACCTCGTCCCTTGTCTACTGTATTTGGGTTTGTTGAATCATTCCTTGTTCTTTCTTGTCTCTGGGTTGATTGTTGCCCTGCTTAGAATACTTATTTCCCCTTGCCAACTCTTGATGCAGCATTTACGCTGTGGCCAATTATATTATTCTAAGATGGGTTTCATATCTACCCAGTCCTTCTTTATTGTAACACCTTTGGCATGGGACACGATGGCTAATGTTACTGTCTATAAAATATTTCTGGGCAGGCTATAATTTCTAATAGGACAAAAATGAGTGGCTGGGACATAAAAATGCTTATTAAGTACTCAATGAATACATTTAATAATGCTTATTAAATGCTCAATGAATATATTTAATAAGAGCTGTCACTTTTTACTATCATGACCTTTTTTTTACATCTAGAAAAAGGAAGAGGTTTACTCCTACTTTTTATGTTATAACCACCTCAATCTTTAAAAACAGGAATGTTTTGGACCGGCATTGTGGCACAATGCATTAAACTATAGCCTGTGACACCAGCATCCCAAATTGCCATGGGTTGAAGTCCTAGCTGCTCCACTTCTGATGCAGCCCCCTGCTAATGTACCCGGGAATGCATAAAAAGATGGATTAAGTGCTTGTGCATCTGCCACCCATGTGGGAGACCCAGATTGAGTTCCAGGCTTCTGGCTTTGGCCTGGCCCATTCTTGACGATTTAGGCCTTTTATAGAGTAAACCAATGGATGGGATCTCTCTGTCTCTGTCTCTTTCTCTCTGTCTCTTTCTCTCACTGCCTTTCAAGTAATAATAACGAAAAGGATAATAAATTGAAAACAGGAATGTTTTCCCTACCTGAATCTCTTTTTTAATGTAAGATTTCCAAGATTATTTGACAATTCCCTTATGATAGTTAGCATCTAAATAGACTACTGACCATACTCTAGGTGAATTTCAAAATGTGCATGAACATTATCTGCCAGTCTTAGTCAAGCCATGAAAAAAATATTTATAATACAGATTCTACTTATGTAGGAATTGGTTCTTTAAAGAAAGAAAATTATTTATTGAAAGGCTGAGTTACAGAGAAAGAATAAGATCCTCCATCTGCTGGTTCACTTCCCAAATGGCCACAATGGCTGGAGCTGAGTTGATCCAAAGCCAGGAACCAGGAGCTGCTTCTGGGTCTCCCACATTGGTATAGCGGCCCAAGTCCTTGGCCATGTGCTGCTGCTTTCCCATGTGCACTAGCAAGGAGGTAGATGGGAAGTAGAGCAGCCAGAACTTGAACTGGTGCCCATCTGCGATGCTGGAGTCACAAGAGGTAGGTTTACCTGCTATTCCTTAGTGCCAGCACCTAGAAATTGGTTTTCTGTGCATTGTATACATAATAGACTGCTCAAATGTTGTAAACACATACCTTTGATGGAAATTAAATGCCTATTTTTTAAGAGTGGAATATTCTTCCAAAATGTTACATTGGTGGGTATTAGCTTTCTAGATCCACACTAATGCCCACATTTCTCTCCTAGTTAAGCCCTTCTTCAGATACATAAGTGGCTTCTAAATGTAATTTGTGAGAACTAACTCAACAGGTCCTTACCTTTGATTAGAAGGGAGAATATTTCATAATCTGATTAAACTGGGAACCCGTGAATAAAATGTTTCCTTTACTATGGGAATTGTTAAAGCTTTTAATATGTTAATAAGCACAGAAACTGTCTAGAGGGTGAGTAGAGTAAACAGCTTTTCCTTAAGTTACCTGACCTTGGATTCCTTTTTGTGAGAAGTACATCATGGGATGAGAGCAAAATTGAATTGGGAAATGTTCTAAGGAATAGATATCTTTAAAAACATTAAAACACTTTATAAAACTTTCAATTAATTTCTCCAATGATCTTAAGAAATTTTAATATTCTATGTGACCAGAATAGAAAACAAACAGTAAAGTTTCTCCTTATAAATACCTTTGGAGTTCACACCCACTCAAACACCAACTGATCTCTCTCTCCTTCAAGCATTCCAATGATAGAATAAATTGGTTTATTTCATTATGTGTATTCTTCCTCCCTGAAAACAGATCATTGTAGTAGTATACTTATAGCTATTTCTCTATTTATTGTTGGTTTCCTGCCAACTATGGAATAGTATCCCTCTTAAAATTCATACAGTAATGCCCTAACTGGGTAATTATTTACAGAGAGGGTTTTTAAGGATGTAATTAAGGTTAAATGAGGTCTCTAAAGGTGAGGACCTGGGTTGATGGGATTAGTATCCTTACAAAAGGAGACAACAGAGTTTAAGCTATTTCTTGCTCTCTCCTTCCTCCCACCTTGTGAGGACACAACAAAGAACTCAGTATTCCAGGGAACAAAGAAGGAGGTAGTTAGAGAATTTATTATAGGAAACATGATAAGACCATGTCACTATAAGTGGGTACTTGTTCTGAGCAAAATTAGACAGGTTCAATGAAGGATAACCTGAGATTCTGAACTTGTGTTTCTTATACACTTCTCAATTAAAGAATACTAAAGATTATGTAATATGGGTGTAGCAAATAAGTCTATGTGATGTCCTGTGACTTCAAAAATTAGAGAGGTACAGAGGTGGAGGTTCTAGGTCCTTGTCACAAGACCTTTGGGTTCCTCAAGCAATCAGTTTCCACCAGTTCTTGGCTCTCCTGGGCCTGCACAGTGGAGTGTATCTGCTTCTCTTTGCTTCTTTCCACTACTTAATTTTCTGTACTGCTTTAATAGCTTCACCCAATTAGTGGTTGTGTTTTCAGTTCTTCATGAAACAGGGACATTTGTTATGGGTTGCATAACTTTCATTATTTCGGTTGCTATGCTTGTAGCTTTCTCCCTGGACATTCCAGCTATGATTTGACCAACAAAGCTTAGATATGGAAAACATTAATTATTTTGAACATACTATGATTTTTTTAGTGGTTTTGTTACACTACTGAGTCATGTAAAGTTGTCAACCAAAAATTCCAAATTTAATTAAATTGTAAAACACAAAAGTTTACAGATTGGGTTAGCACAATTTTCCCCTTTTTTCAGTTTCATGACTTCAGTCACTTTGTAGTGCAGCTTTACCATACCTGCAATGAACCTGCTGATAACAGTATGTTGTGCAGGCCTCTGGCAGGTGCTTGAAACTGGCTGTGCAGGCCGAATGCCAACTTCTATTGAAAGCTTCATCTTGGATTTTCCAGTCTCCAGAGTGTGAGAAAAATGTATTTCTGTTGTCTAAGATGATGGTATTTTGTTATGGCAGTTAGACTAGTTTAATTCACTTACCTGATTAATCCTCATCTCTTTACTCCTCAGTCACATTCCCTGTGCCATCTAAAATCAAGAAATGATTCTCCTAAAGGAGTTCAGCCAAACTTAAGCATTTGGATAATCTGAATATTTGTGATTCCAAGGAATAGCCATTGTATAGGTAGCCTTTCCATTATTTTCAGTAGAATAGCTTTCTTTTCCAATACAAAATCTGAGCACATGTCAAACTTTGCTTTCATATATTTTTATTCTCATGTCATTTGGACAAACAACGAGTACTGGAAGTCAAATTTTCATTTTAACACTATCCTGTATCCCCTGGTTCTTATAAGGAGATACTATAGGTCCAGTTCTGTTTCCCCAACTTTCTTCCTACCAATGCTTCCGTACCCTGTAAAAGGCGAACCTCTGACACAGAAAAGTGAATGAATGACATCACCCAAGTCCAGTGACTGATTAGGAACTTGTTAACTCAAATAATGAAGACGTTTCACATTTCTCTGTGCTTTTTGGTGATCTTGAACTGCTTTTACAGCAGAAAAATAGACCTGATCTCCTCCAAAGGCAGAAAAATGTAGTCTATAAAGAGAACTATTTCCCACTCAAAATACCATATTCTCATCATTTTAATTAGTTATTTTTATGAATCAGATAGATTTGATATTTGGTTTATTAATAGATTAAAATTTATTGTATTGCTGAATTTAAGAAAAAACTTCAACACATCATAAATAGGGGTGTACTATGTCATTTGTAATGTAGACATGGTTTTCAGCAACAATGTACATGTTTTTCTTGGTCAACCGAGGAGAATTCTCTAAATCAACATTTCCCAAATGAGTTCTATAAAAACATAGTTGTTTGTGTGTGTGTGTGTGTGTGTGAGAGTGATTGTTGTTCGGTAATACATTAAGGAAGGTTATTATGGTGGAATATGCTTAAAAGATTCAGGGTTAGACAAAGTTAAATGATTTTTGATAGGAACATTTTGACACCCTTTAATTGTTAAATTGCCTTAAGAATTTCCAAAGGGGGCATATCATATATTCGACCTTTTCTGAATTGAATTTATTATTGTTGCTGCTTTTTTTTGTTGCCTTTACAGACAGCGTTATCTATTAGTATTCCATAGCATATTTTAGATGCTGCTCTCTACAAAAAATGCATGGACCTTTTATATTACATGATCACATAATTCTACTATTTGTTTTTAATTGATTTTTATTTTAAAAAGTTATTTCACATTAAATCTTAAATAAATATCAAATACAAAATTTGAGTTCCCATAGAATAATTAACCTAAAGGGATAAAATTTTCCATCGACCAGCAGTCTCAGCATCATTTGGCTCCTTACTAGAAAGGGACATTTCAGACCCCAGCCCAAATCTGCTGAGTCAGACATGCTGGCATGGAGTCAAACAAGCTTTTTTATTTATTTTATTTATTTCAAAGGCAAGTGGAGTCTTAAACCACTGTGTTCCACAATGCTCTTCTCCCCATCTGTTTTTAAAAGTCCTTGGTGGTATAATGGTAATATTTAAGAACCACTGATCTTTCTTATTAGAGTAAGAATACCTCAATCAAGTAAAGTAGCAGTTTAGCCCTGGAGTACTATAGGTTAAGGACAGAGGACATAGAAAAAGATTGGCTACCTGGCAGGAAACATATCAAGATAATAGAGCACCTGTTCTAGAAATTATAGAAGTGAAATCAAAGGCTGTCTCAGAAGAATACATTGGGTGTTTGAAGAACAGGCCAGAGATTATAAGAGCAAATTGGGAACCAAATGATCAGGATTCACAGGCAGAAAATAGGTGCATGGTAATATGACAAGAAAAGGACAGTATTCAGTCTTCAAGGAACCATAGGCCCAGAGATGAATCAAGATAGAAGGAACTCAGAACTCTAGGAAACAAAGGAGGAGGTAGTGAGAGAATTTTATTATAGGAACAATGCTGAGACCATGTCACTACAGGTGGGTACTTGTTCTGAGCAAAATTAAACCTTAGTTTCAATTAAAGATAACTCATTTCTGAACTTGGGCATTTTATATTATTCTCAATGAAAGGAAACTAAAGGTTATGTAACATGGCCGTGGCAAATAAGCCTTTATGTAAGATCTTTTGGCTTCAAAAATAAGAGAGGTACAGAGGTGGAGATTCTAGGTCCTTGTCACAAGACCTTTGGGTTCCTCAAACAATCAGTTTCCACCAGTTCTTGGCTCTCCTGGGCCTGTACAGTGGAGTGTATCTGCTTCTCTTTGCTTTTTTATACTACTTAATTATCTGTACTGCTTTATTAGCTTCACCCAATTAGTGGTCGTGTTTTCAGTTCTTCATGAAACAGGGACATTTGTTATGGATTGCATAACTCTCATTATTTTGGTTGCTATGCTTGTATCTTTCCCCTTGGATGTGTGACACCAATATTAAATTCCAGCTATTGTTTGACCAGCAAAGCTTAGATATGAACATTACTTTTGTACATGTCTATGCTTTTTTTTAGTGGTTTTGTTACACTACTGAGTCATGTAAAGTTGTCAACCAAAAATTCCAAATTTAATTAAATTGTATCTATTATTCATAAAATGCAGAGGTTTACAGATTGGGATAGTGCAGTTTTTCCCCTTTTTCCAGTTTCATGACCTCAGTCACTTTGCAGTATAGATCTACTTTATCTACACTCAAACTGCTGATAAAAGTATGGTATATGAAGGCTTCTATGAGGTGCTGGATACACCCTCTCAGAGCTTTCTTTACAATCACATTGCTTTATTATTGAGACTATTTGACATTCTCTCACTTTACTTTTAGAGAAAATTTGAGTTTTTGGCATCCTGCAAGTGAGGGTTCTTTTTACATATTCATTTTTAAAAGTTCACACATGAAATATTGTTAATAGAGTTTTAGGAGGGTGAAAATTTAAACCACAGTTATATGTATACAAACATCAAGAAAATCCCTGATCTTAGATATTTCCTAATTGTATGTTTCAATAAATAAGAATAGGCTCAGCATTACTAAGAATACTTATGAAAACATTCATCAGAGTGTTTAGGCAATTAATTGTTCCAATCTGTACTGTGTCACATTAATAATCGCTTTTAGACATGTTTTAATGCTCTTGCTCTATAAATACTCCGTGAAACTCTTCAACATTGAAATTAGTACCTGTATAGCTTCCAGAGTTTCAATAAACATTATAGTATAAAATCAAATTAGTAATTAGGAGAGTCTTGAAATAAAGCATCACTTGAAGAGGGCTCTTTAACATTTCAACATGAAAAATAAGTAGGATCAGTGTTAACTGCTGACTTCTAGAAGACAAGGAAAAGTATTTATATTAAGGCTACAATTCAGAATCGCAAACCTTCTTCCATGTTGAAAGAGAAGGAGCACTCTGGGGCAATCAGATTACATAGCCACCATGTGAGTGGAACAGAACCAGTATGAAAGTGACCTATGTGACAAATTTACTCCCAATCAATTATGAACCAGATGGTAACTTAGTCTGAATCATGACTAACAGAAGCTTCTGCATCCTCCTTGGTTGTATCAGGCTTGCAACACAGAGATGATTGATTTGTTGGCTTAAAGGATCAGTAATCCAATATGTAGTTCATGATTTCTCTGTTGAAATACCACCATTTTTGAGCTATCCCTCATGGCCCTCAGGTTGGCATAATAGGAAGCTGGCATCAGGAACAAAAGCCAGCCATTGAACCTAGACACTGTGAAGCCCAAATCCTGCCTCTGATCAAGATTTTTCAAATGTGTCCTCTGATAAATCAGTCCTGCAGGGGATTGTGTAAAAGTTGAGGCGTATGGGTGGTGTTGGATAGATGGAGAAGGCGGGGAGGGGGGCTAAGAGAAGCCTTGTAATTTAGATAGATATCCTCCCCGAATTCCTTATAATTTAGGAAGATCTTGAAAATGAATCCTAGAAGAAGAATCACAATGCCCAAGGATTATCTTTAATTTTTAAAATCGTAGTCAATTCTTTGTATTTGCATAGTTAAGAAATCATATATAATCAAGATTATAAATATTAGCAAAATAAGTTACCAGAATTTGATAGCAATGGCCCTGTGATCTGATGTGAAAAAAATTCCATTGAGTGAATGTTCCCTTAGTAATACATAATCTTTTTACCATCAAGATAGAATTCAACAATAAGTCTAATTTAACATTGTAGTAAAACAGAATGGCTTTGAGAAAAGAAAAAGCATGCTCTGTACTCTATGCTAGCATGCTTTGATATGAAGGCATTTACAAGGTTTTCATTATAAGTTTACTTTGAGTCTAGTTTATTATTATTGGTTTACTTTGATATGAAGGTATTTACAAGGCTTTTGTGAATTGTTTTAGTAGAATCTGGAATTAAATGATTGGCAGCTCTCCACTTAGTTTAAAACCAGTAGTATCACTATACTCATACGTTAGCACACTTTTGAATGTAAAAGCTGTCCTAATAAAGGATGACAGAAATTTCATCATGTCTTTTTGTTTTCAAAATAAAATGAGGCAATTCAAACCAATAGCTGCATCAGGGGAATGTCCATAGGGGAGTCTGGGGATTGCTAGCTATAGCTCCACAGTATTAAGGAAGTCAATAGGAAATGCCTCGTAAATCATACATGCATGGTTACCGTATTTGCTAAGGAACAGGTGATCACTGTGTCTCCTAGACAGTGGTCAGCTGCCATTCAGTTCTTTCTCTCTGATAAGATCGTACGAACTTCTAACCTTTCCATGGATAAATTTTCTTAAATTGTTATATAATTCTCTAAAATAATTATGAACTGTATTGGTCATAAGCCACATCTCATACTTCTTTTCTACATCTCTGGGATTTCCCTATCTTACTGTAGAATACACAAAAGGCACTTGATAGATTCCAACTGAATCTTACTGAATTGCCTTGATACATTTTAGAAGCATTCTACACTATAGAGATAAAGCACTCAACATTAGGTGGGCTGTGGTATACCAACCACAAAATAATATATTTATTGTCACCAATTTTTTTCTTTTATTGATAAAAACTACACAAAAGCTAATTGATAATTAATTTAAAAAGCAATGTTACACATTATCTTATGCTTAGAAATTTGTCAGCTTGGCAGTTTCGTTCATTGACCACATGGCCACTGTTCCATAGACTTCTAGTCCACTTGGGAATAATTCTGTTGGTCTTTCTCGATTGGAGATCTTCACAGGTGTGTCTTTCAGAATTCTACACAGTGAGGGCTGCCAATGGGGGAAAAACAAAAACACCTGGACTCTTTATATTGTGTACAACATGTGTCTTCAAAAAGCATTCACACAGACTTACTGAGTTTTCATTTTCATTTCAGTAGTTCTATAAAAGTTAGCAGTCAACTCTTTCCTTTTGTGGTCTGTAGTATAGCAAATTTGCTTTTGGAAAAACGTACACATTAATTGCCCATGTTTAGAATTGGAGACAGAATCACTCGACCAGGAAAATAAAAATAAAAAGAAACCAAAAAAGAACAGACAGCATTTTAAAGGAAAAATAAAACAAGAGATTGAAATAAAGTCTGTGAGTTGCACACACCTAACAAGAAAAACTGTACTGTCTCCCCCACTTCCCACCCTCCACCCCGTTGATTTGCCCCGTGTGGTTCTCCAGCCCTGGAACCATGCAGTGTAGAAAAACCAAATATACAAACAAATCTATTGATGGCTAGGGTGAAATCTATTTTTATAAGAACTTGACACTCTTTTACTATTTACATCCGAGAGCATTTCAGTCTCATATTTTAATGCAAAGAATGTTCTGTAGTTCTCCCGGTCATGCTGCTAGCGCATTTGCTGCCGTCTTGAAGGGTTTCTGCTTTTCTCTCTGCCACAAACGTTTTGTCAGGAATGATGAGCTTGCTGGACTGAGCATGTGCGACACCCACTCTCCTTTAAGATGAAAGCCCGCCCTTCCCCCAGGCAACTTCCCCAATGAAGAAGAGCAGGTTTCAGCGTTAGTTTGTTATTCTCTCCAGATAAATTGCCGGTGCTGCCGACCTGGTGATGGTGGCAATAAAGCTGTGGTCTCGACCTAGCTCCAGGCTGGGGCTTTCGTCCTGCTCGGGAGATACTGTCTCATAGCCCTTGTTGACGTGGAGTGGCTGGTGAGCCTGGCAGTACCCGATCACGGGCTGGTCATAGCTGTAATATGGCAAGGGCTTCACGTGGTGAGGCATCTGCATATGGGAAACAGAAAGATGAATTGTCTGGTTACTAAAATGCTTTGGAAAGAAAAGACAAACTCCCCAGAGTTTATTTTTGTTCTGTATGTGCTGTTTCAAGTCATTGACTACAATGCAACCTCTAATAAACTAATGATGAACATTTTTATTACTATTTAACTCATTTTGTACAGCATATATCTCTCTCTAAATATACATACTTTTTGCACAGAGTAAACATCTTTTGATTTCATTTTCCAAGATCTTTCAACATTTCTATCTTCTGTCTTGCAAGACATTTCCATATTGACAAAATAAATGTTCATCAATATAGGATTTTAAAATATATTATGTACATCTACACGCTTGAATGCAGACGTTACAAGACAGGGAAGAGATACCTATTGTAATATGGCATGATATATTATTATGTAGAAAAAAGTTAAGATGCAAGAGAGAGTATACTATCACATGTAAATATATATATATATAAAAATATGTATTTTGTATACAATTGCATGATTCATTTCTCATTTTTCATTTCATACAATTCAAATCTTTATTGTTGGAATTTATAACTTTTGTTTAATTATTAAATCCCATAGATTATTTGGCTTGCAAATATTGGTCCAAATAACTCTAGAATCATGGGGGAAGGAACATCTTTGTGTTCATTAATATTCATTAATATGTTACTATTTGTTTCTATGTTAACAAGTCAAATATGTATCTAATGTTATTATAATAGACCTGGATGGTCATCTATGGAAAAGTAGATAATGTTATATGAATTTTGATTCTCTGGGCAGGGTTTTATTAAACCACAAATTTCTGATCAAGGAAAATGTATCCCAAACGTAGAAGAAGAAAGGTGATTTCTGAATTCTTGCTGTCACACTGGCAGATGTGAAGGCACACCTGCTTCGCTGCACTGTAAAGTTGGAGGCTGGGGTAGCTTTTAAACTCCCGCCCCAGTTCCAATTCCATTTGTTGGGTTTTAGGATCCTGGGGCTGGGGCTTTCCAAATTGCATTTTTGGTTTCTACATCTTGTAGGACTTTGCCAGTGGAGAGTGAGAGCAAGATGTAGAGGAGAGAGGGAATTACTCCCAGTATAGGCTTCCTCTGTTTATTGTTGCTCCCAACCACCACTCTACTTTGGCTGTATCAGTTCCTGCCTTGCACAGCAGATGGTATCTCTTGGTCGTCTCTGGGCACCTGCAGCTTCGCCAACATCTGATCTCACCAGACTCCTCTCTGAGGCACCAGGACTGACATCAGAGAAGGGGGAGGTTTAATTTCCCCCACGCTCTTTTCCTGGCATCTATATTTTCAGGATTCCAATACCTTCTTTTGTTTCCTCAGTCTCAGATGTGGTCGGGTTCATAGCCACTTCCTGCAGCTGCAGTTTTTGTGATACTGTGGCACTATTTTAGCCTTTGCCTTAACAGCTAATAACACTATATCCAGTTGGCAATTCTTTATAGAATCTTTTTGTGAAAATAACTGATTCACTGCCTCCTAACTGGATTATGTCTGACTTTCTGTTAAATTACAGGAATTTAGCTCTGCTGTTTAATAATTTGGTAGAGAAGTTAAGTACCAGAGGTTTTATGGCCTAATTAATCTGTAGGAAGTCAACTAGCTTTAAGTCTCATTTAGCAAACTTGTTTTCAGAAGTCATCCCTCTACATAATGTAAGTCCCTCAAATGTTCTTCAGGCTAGCATGATGGTTTTCATTCCAGTATTCTCATTAATGCAATGAATAGAATTTCGACACAAATAAAAATTGCCTTACATTTTTTAAGATCTAGATTAAAGCACTGTTTTCTATGTAAGATCAAAACTCATTAGTAGGTTATGAAATCAATTTAGTGCATCAAGATAAGCATTTAAAAATAACTAGAATATAAAGTAGTAGAGTATATGGTAAGTTGCACTTTTTAAATTTATGTGCATGCATCAGTGTGTGTATTGGGTCACACTGTGGATTTTTTGTAATTGAGAATCACAGTAAAATATTTTTAAAAATACTTGATCATGGTTGGATGATTTTTTTTTAATTTAAAACTGTTTTTAATGTTTAACTATTTGAGGAGAGAGAGAGTTCCCATCTTCTGTTTCCCTAACTGCCCACAATAGCCAGAGGTTGGCCTGGTGGGACTGAAGCCAGGAGCCAGGAATTCAATCCAGATCTCCCATATGGGTAGCAGGAGTCAATTACTTAGTCCATCACCACATTAGCAGAAAGCTGGAAACAGGAACCTAAGCCAGGATTCAAATCCAGGTCCTATTATATGAGATACAGGCATCTCAACCAGAATCTAAATAACTAGGCCAAACACCCACTCCCGACTACAGTTTCTTTTAAGTGACTAGCAATGGGATGGATAAATGCCAAGTTCACTTTTGCTAAGTCATTGTTTCCTACAATGAATTTGAAAATTAAACCAATATTGCTTTGCTTTGTTTGATGACACACATTGACTTCTAATGGAAGGCAAACATTATTTTCAGCAACTCTTTTAAGAAAAAGAATTTCTTGTAAAACAAGATGAGAAACATCATAAATCTTGAATGAATTATTCTTAAAGGTTTGAAAAAAGCACATACTAAATCAAAGTTAGATTGATGTTTTTGACATTAGGCATTGATTTCTATGATGACATTGAGAGCAAGAAGAAAGTGTAAGGCAACAGGGCCAACTTACTAGTTACTAAATGTAAAGTTAGGTCTAATCTACCTCACCCCAAATCTATAGATTTTCAAAAAACACGTCTTATTAATTTAGACCTCTCTATATATATCAGTACATATCCAGACATGAAATGTTTGTCAGCAAGTTCTATTTTAGGGAATTTCAAGATATTTTACAGTGTGTCAGATAGGTAGAGATATGTGTGATTGGTGTCACAGGTCACACAACCCTGAAAAAGCAGAGAAATGGAGCCAACACTTCACTATGACATTTCATCAAGATGAAATTTTGGAGAGGATCTTCCAAAGAGTAATGTAGTTCACTTTTAGTTTTTGTTGTTAATAGGTGGAGTAGCATACCTTGAAAACATCCTAAGAATTTTAACAAATGATTTCCAAATGACAGTAACACGTACTGGGTACACAACATTTGTTCCACAAATCATTTAAAGGAGTAACTTATCTTTTCCACAATAGCCAAATTACTCCATGGTGTCAAAAGCCACTTTATGTAGGAGTTGTGGTGCTGCCCAGTGTCTTATGTCACCATGTATGCTTCCTCCATGTTTCTCCAGCCATTGCAATAGCGGATGCTTTGATCCATAAGTGTATTTAAGCAGTGAGCAGGTAAAGGCGTCGGGGACTTACAGACTCTTCTGCACAGCCAGGTTAATCCGCAATAGCTCAAATGTGAATATCACTGATTCCTAATATGTACTGAAAGCCCTTAAATTTAAACTATAGTGGGAGAGAACAATTTCATTGCTAGGAAATCATGGTAATTGTCTGCAAATTAATTTGACTCAAATGTCACGGAAGCTGCATTAACCACAGAACTTTAGGTTTAAATAGAACAACATTTCTGAACTCAGAGCATTTGTTTTGCTCTAAGAGTTGGACAAGCTTATTTATTGTTTTTGCTGAGAGATTTGACACAGGCATAGAATCTCTTCCACGTTGGCAACCTTCATAAAGTTCCCTCCTGCACAAGCAACCAAAGGCAAGAATTCAAAAGCAAATAAATTGGCAAGCTTTGAAAGGATATCTGATATGTTTGTTCATTTACTCTTAAAATCTATTCTTTAGGGTACTATGTAATCAATTGAATTTGTGGTTTCTGAGCAGCTAAGAGACTGAGGTCTTGTACTTTATAGTAATAATGTACAGTACATTAACCACCTGGGTCCCTGAGTGTATCATTGTTTCTTTTCCAGTAGTCAAAACAAAGTATCCTTAAGTTCCACTTAATGCGGGTTTGGTATTTTTGTAAATGTGTTCTCAGAGCTTTCCCAAATGGTCCCAAGTGTTCCAGCAGCTCTCTGATGGACTCCACTCTGGAGCACAACACCATTTAAGGACGTTCTTATTAGTATGCTTGACTACTCATTGTCTGCACCAGCAGCTGCACTTTATTTACAGAAAACGGGTGTTTCACATAGAATAAAGGTAAGACAGTGGGGGATATATTATACCATACTGAAATTCTGCCACTTGCTTCACGGAAGGATATGCACACTGTAACCTTAATCACTTTAAATTTGTCCTTTACAGAAGCGTATTTTATAACTAAGTCTGAGGCAGGTTACAAAGGAGCAGAAACATTATTATGACTAATTACAAATCACTCGAATCCTCTTGAGTTTCCTGTGACTCCTTTGGAATTAGGGACAATAGTGACACCTCATTTACCTTTATAAATTTCAGATAACCTTAGACATGTTCCTTGATTCTCAAGAAAGAATGAAGGTACTGAAAGGACAAATTCACATTACACTTCTAATCATCCCTCACTGTGTCTGTCCTGAAAATGTGCCTTGCCTTTTGTCTACTCAGAGGGATGCAAAGACATGAGTGGGTCACAAGGTAGCTCAATAACCGCAATTTGCAATCCTACTTGGTGCACTAAGAAGTTTAGAAACCTCAGTGCATATTCTAAAAATGTCATTTTTCCTTTTTCCAGATTATGATTTTCTTCCAACACCCCAAAAGAAGTACAAGACAAAATATTCCTCTCAAGCACAGGAGCTAGCAGTGTTAGAGACTCAAAGAGAAGTCAAGGAAAGAGAATTTTTTAAATCTTCAAAGGAAGGACAAAATTACAGAGGTATGTGGGGAGCTTTAAAAACTGAAAAGCAATTCACTTCCTATATTTTTATATCTATAAAATTTATATCTAAAATGAGAAATGAATATGTCTATATACTAAATGTGACAGCAATATGAAATGGACTCTTGATATATGTGATCATGAAAGGCTTTTGAAGTTCAGTGTTGTTATGAGCATGAAATTACAATATTGTTAACCCTCTATTCCCAAAG